CCCCCCCCCAATATTTTGACTGTGTATGGCATAAAATGGAGCTTTACACATTTTAAAGGACTGTCACAGAAATAATTTGCACTGTCTTATGCGCTTACAAAGATGAAAATTAGCATAATATGTTAATGTTGATAACAAAATTATTTTATCTGGTACCAATCTAAGCTCTTCTTTCCTTAGATGTTAGATGTGCTTTCAAAGAGAGCCACATTTCACACTGAAAGGTGTGTACGACATCAGTAATGTTATGTCAATTCCAAGAATGTTTAAGGTCATATCGGTTGATGAGGGATTTATTGATTAGGCCTATAATAGCAAATTTCATCAATTTATTTTGCAAAAACAAGGTTTCCAGCTTCAGAGGGGGGCACATCCCCTGTCCGCACAAGGGCACACATTGGCGAGACACCAGGCGCGTAACAGGGGTCTTGGGTCAGAGTGGGTACTTATTTTCCCGGTTAGTAATTTACCATACCCACCCCACCCCACTCCCCATATAGAAAACAATACGACATAGGGCTTATCTTGTTTATAATATAGGCCACAAACGTGTGTTTGAAACTAAATATAGGCCTAAGCATTTTCATCATGGTTTTATTTATTAAAAACATATTCGTTCACCATCAATACACATTGAGGCCCTTCTTTTAGGTTAAAACGATCTGTCTTAAATTTGTCTTTCTTGAGTTTTGGAATATCATGTGTTTAAATAACTTAAAAGGATAAACCTAAAAAAGCCCTAAAAAATGCGCCCTAAAAAATATTTTTGTGTTTTTAATTCTAATTTCGTCGGAATTGATGAAAACTCCCTAAAATGTGCAATTTATAGGGCCGAGGAAATTGGCCTACAAGAAATGCGCGCAAACAATTTGAGAATTTTAGGCACTTTCAGAGGATGCATTCGTCAAAGGGGTGCGGAAAGACTTTCCAAAGATGGATATTTTCCCCAATTGTCCCCCGGTGTTTTTAATTCTAATTTCGTTGGAATTGGTCAAAACTCCCTAAAATGTGCAATTTTTAGAGGAAATTGGCCTATGTTAACAAGAAATGCGCACGGTTTTTAGGCACTTTCAGGGGATGAAAAGGCATTTATAAAGGGGTGGGGAAGATTTTTCAGAGATATATATTTTCCCCTTGTCCCCCAGTGGTTACGCCATTGGGCAGCATAGATCAAAGGAGTTATGACAGTTTTTGATGTGGAGAAGGGGTTGCAGGGTGTTGTGAGTCTGGTCATTATGATATCTTCCTTTTTATTCTTGTCTTTATTTTTCTCTTCTCTTTTTCTTTCCTTTGCTTTCTCTTTCCCTCCCTCTCCCCTCTTTCTTTTCTCTTATTACCCAGCCCGGTACGACGGCTTGGTCAGCCCGGTAAGAACAGTCAGGGAAAGGGAAGGGGCAGTTTCCCCCCCCCCCGCGCCTGTTACGACACTGGCTAACACGCCAATCATCCCCAAATGAAAAATATTTTTCTACGCCACTGGAGATATCTACCCCTTCCCGGCAAAGCCCATCCCCTTTCCCTCGGTGGCAGGGGTCCCGGTTTCTCTGACATGGGTGGGGTATTGTTCTTGAGAAGGCCAATCTGCCTGATCGAAATAGGCGTGGCCAGGGGCAGCCCAAAACTCTGTAGACAAGGATTTGAAAGGCTTATTTAATCGATATTAAAGTTGAGTGTGCATTCTGTATACATTCTCTACGAATTGCTTTTTTTTTTCTCCCTGACAAGGAGGGATAGCTAAGGGAGGAGGAAAGTGCACTTACTTTTCAGGGCGGATTTAGGGGGGGCCGCTTTGGGAGGTAAAAAAAAGAAAAAAAAGAGAGAAAAAGAAAAAACTGATAGCCCAGAATGCCTCAAATGTTATGTTCGTGCGTCTAGAACACAAAAATTTCGCGGGGGCATGCCCCAGACCCCCTAC